GGCTGCCATCCCTCTGGGCGCTGCTTTGTGTCTTTGGCTGCAGGCAGCGCTGGAGAACCCGGCGTCCCTGTGCGCTGAGATGAGAAACCCGGCCTTTCTCATGCCTTCCGTGAGAGAAAGTTGATGACCTTTGTCGGCCCTCCCAGAGGGATGATCAGGGGCTCTGCCCTGCCCCTGCTAGCCTGGCTGTCCCTGGCCAGTCCCCAGGACCTGCAGCTTCACCGCTGGGCAGTTGTGAGTAAAAAGGTAATCCCTCAAATGTGGCTTTATGTCCCCAAATCCAGCACCGAGGTGGTGTAGGAGTGCATCCGCAGGGTGTCTGTGGAGGATTTGATGCTTCTTGTTGGTATCTTCAGTAGCTGTAATCAGAAATGGGGCTGTTTGTTTGTTTGTTTTAAAACACTGGGGAGGTGATACTGATTCTGTTTTCTTGTTTTTCAGTCTATTTTTCCTTTTCAAACATTAACAAAATTCCTCTTGTCACTTGCCATCAGTGTATATCACTGTGTTTCCCCTTTAGAGCTGTGTTTGGCCACTAACTCTTTGCTTTTTGACTTTCCAATGCTCTGTTAAGGTGTTTTATTTTATAAAGCTACTAATATTTTCTCAACCTGTGAAAAAGTTCGATTACATTTTACATAGCTTTGTATCAGTTACTTGGGGTTTTAAATCTTGTTACAGTAGCTTGAAACAGGTGCCCCCAATTAGTAGTTTGGATAGGATGTGTTAACTCAGTTGATCTTGTAGGGTGGTGTTAACTCCGCAGAAAATTTAAATGTCTTCAGAAGACAAAGAAGCTCAGGAGGACGAGCTGCTGGCCCTGGCTAGCATTTATGATGAAGATGAGTTCAAGAGAGCAGAGTCAGCCCAAGGAGGAGAAACAAGAATTTGTCTGGAGTTGCCCCAAAACTTCAAAGTTTTTGTGAGTGGTGAGTTGGGATGTTCTGTGTTATCCTGAAATCAGGTTTTTACCAAGTTGGTTTTCTGGTAGCTGCTTAGATGGTTGCTGCTCTAGGGACATGGAGCAGAGAAGGCCATGCCTGGCTCTGCTGTGCCTGTGGGGTTTACATCTGAGTGGTTGATTTCATCCTCGTACATATAACCTCTGTAGTGAGCTTTAAAATTAGAGATAAGTTGTATTATTTCTTTGGATTTACTAAGTTCATTTACTATTTCTTTTTTTCCTTGAGGAAAATCTTTCTGGGTTCTTGGCTTGTGCAGGATCTGGTGTTTCACAGTGCTGGTGTTTACTGATCTAACCATTGTGGGAACCTGTGGGAAACTCTAAAATAGGGTCCCATTTCTCTGTGAGAGGCAAACACCAGGTGTGAGCTCTTGGTTTTATTCAACAACCTCTCCAAATTGTGGGGGGGGAAGTAATGAAAACATCCTGACAGCTGAGAGCCCCCCTGGCATCGGCTCACGACAAACCATTTACAATGCAACCCCACAAAACTTTACTACACTGAGAAGTTCTGTAATTTAGGGTCGAATGAAAAAATGTGAACCAAGGAGTCTGTCAAACAAGAGGAGATCCATTGGCTGCTGTCATAAACCATTACACTTCATTAGTTATCTTTGTTATTTCTCATGCTGTCCCAACTCTCTCTGCTGCAGGCAATTCCACAGAAAGTCTCCAGAGCAGCAGGTTTGAATACAGTGTCTGCTTTCTGCCTCCCCTTGTGCTGAACTTCGAGCTCCCACCAGACTACCCATCCACCTCCCCACCCATCTTCACTCTCAGTGGAAAATGGCTCTCCCAAGCCCAGGTTTGCAAACAGTTTTAACATTTTAACAGAGCTTTTTTGGGCACGAGAAAGTTCATCACTGATGGTAGCTCTGGGGGGTGGTTATGTAGTAGCTGAAAGTAGAATTGAGACATAAATTATTACATTTCTCTTTCAGTGGGCTCTTGTTTCCCACCTGTTCTTATTTGGTCGTGGTTCTCAGGAATGAAATCTTGCATCCATGTATAAAAACTCCAGAATCTGAAATCCACATGTGCTCTAAGGAGGACCAAGGGAGAGGACCTGTGAGTTGTGAGAATTTACTGAAATCTGGAATTCTTTTTGCTTTCCCAGCTCAGTGCTCTTTGCAAGCACTTAGACAACGTGTGGGAAGAGAACCGGGGCTGTGTGGTCTTATTTGCCTGGATGCAGTTTCTGAAGGAAGAAACACTGAGTTATCTGAACATTTCCTCCCCGTACGAGCTAAAAATGTGCCACCAAGGGAGTGGGCAGAGCAGGACACCTTTGGTCCCTCTGCACACTGAGGATTGTGGAGGTGCAGCAGGCTCTGCTGCAGCTGAAGAAGAAATGGATGCACGAGCTGTGCAGGATGTGGAGTCCTTGTCGAGTCTGATCAGGGAAATCTTGGACTTTGACCAGGCTCAGAGGAGGAAATGCTTTAACAGTAAGATGTACTTGTGCAATATCTGCTTCTGTGAGAAGCTGGGCAGTGAATGCATGTACTTCACCGAGTGCAGCCACGTGTACTGCAGAGCCTGCCTGAAGGACTACTTTGAAATCCAGATCAGGGATGGTCAGGTCCGCTGTCTCAACTGCCCAGAACCCAAGTGTTCCTCTGTGGCTACTCCTGGCCAGGTAATAGCAGTGTGTGAGCAGGGACAGCAGAGTTCTGCTAGCTTACCCATAGTTAGAGAAGACAAGGTGTGGCTTTCCCTGGGGAGCATTGTGAATATACCTGGGACATGGGTTTTTTCATGCTCTGAGCCCCACAGAGGCATCAGAGTTAAAACCAGACTGCTGGGCAATGTTTTGCCCACTGCAACAGTGCAGGCATTGATCAGGGGCTGAAACTTCTGTCCTGCTGCATTTGGCACTGCATGCTCTTCTTTTCATGAATTGTTGTAAAAAAGATCATTTTCCAGGAGTATTTTCTTGACCCATTGGAGACTATAAAGTGGAGTCACCCCAGCTGTGGGTACCTTTTCATCGACATGCTGTTTTTCACTGAAGCTGGCAGGCTCAGGATCTCACATGTGTGTGTGCTGTCCTTGCTGTGTGTTCAGGTGAAGGAGCTGGTTGGAGAGGAGCTGTTTGCACGGTACGACCGCCTGCTCCTGCAGTCCAGCCTGGACCTGATGGCTGACGTGGTGTATTGTCCTCGCCCGGGCTGCCAGACCCCAGTCATGCAGGAGCCAGGCTGCACCATGGGCATGTGCTCCTGCTGCCACTACGCTTTCTGCACCCTCTGTAAGATGACTTACCATGGGGTCTCTCCCTGCAAAGTCACTGCAGGTGAGTCGTTGTGGGTCAGAGGTGGATCCAGGAGCAGTAAAGTCTTGTGTGAAACCCTGGCAGTCAGGAGTGAAGCAAGGAAGCTCCTCACGACGTGAGCTTTCTGACAGGTCAGACAGATTCATCTGGAGTAGGTCTGTTGCTGGCAATTAAAAAGTATTCCCTTGATGACACTCCGTGCTTGGAGAGTCCCTAAGCTGCTGATTGCCAAATGCTGAGAGACCAGAGCAGAGAAAGAATAATTTTGTATGTGCCTTTTTTTATCCTTTCCTGTGAATCCTCTGCTTTCTGTTGTTAGAGCAGATACTGGAATCAGGTGGATGCTTCTCTGTCTGTTTGGCCTCCAAGTCTTGTGACAAAGTTTCATTAAATGTATGTTCAGAAAAAATATTTCCATTTTCCAGATTATTTTGCACTGTAAACTTGTAATTCCATCTCTTACAGTGAAACAGTGTGAAACTGTTGAATTTTGAGGTGGAGGGGTTTTAATATTATCATTGTTTTCTTACGTATTCTAAGGTTTTACTTGCTTTTTCATTTATGGTGTTAGTTTCCTTTGAGAATACTTCATGCTGATATTAGCTGGACTTCCCTATATAATATATATATAATATATGTAATGTATTGTGAGAGTTGTATTGGGGTTTTTTCCCCTCTTTTGTTCTATTCCCCAGAGAAATTAATGGATTTGCAAAAGGATTATTTGGAAGGAGATGAGGCAACTAAAAGGTTCTTGGAACAACGCTATGGCAAACGAGTGATTCAGAAGGCCCTTGAGGAGATGGAGAGTAAAGAATGGCTGGAAAAGAACTCCAAGTCCTGCCCTTGCTGTGGGACTCACATAGAGGTAAGCACGGAGGGGAAGGGCTGAACAGAGCAACTCTCAACAGAAACTAACATCCCTTCAGTCACTTCTGTGTTTGGGCTGGAACAGGGATTTATTTTTAGCCTTCAGGTTCACAATGGAAAGTAAATTTCTAGGAACTGGTAAAAGAACTTCTAATTTCTGTCTGTGTTACATAGAAAAGGAGGTGATGTTGCTGGAGCTCAGGGACTTGAGAGAGCACAGCAAGTGGTATTGTTCAATGCTAAGAAGATCCAGGTTGACTGTGGATTTGTATGAATCCCGTTGTTTTCCATGTGTTCCAGGCCATTCCTGGTTCACACTACAGCCAGGAAATAAAACTAGCTTCAGAAAAATACTAATTTCCAGCATTATAGTCAATTCACAACTCTGTGATTCTAGGTCCTAATTCTTTGGAACAGTGAAAAAATACCAATGTAAAAGGTGTTGGTTGGTCGCTGTGTTTTCGAGGACTGTTGTGAGGGGGCAGATGCTCTCAGTGCTGTTTTCCCTCCCCCTGGCAGAAGCTGGATGGCTGTAACAAGATGACCTGCACGGGCTGCATGCAGTATTTCTGCTGGCTCTGCATGGGCTCCCTGTCCCGGGTGAACCCCTACAGGCACTTCAACGACCCCTCTTCCCCCTGCTTTAACAGGTGGGTGTTCACACACATTCTGCTCTGCTGTTCCCCTTAATGTTTCTGCTTTTCCTTACAGTCCCTACCTTGAATTTTGTGGCTGTGCAATTTAAGACAGTGTTTCTTCTCTCAAATATTTACACTTACAAGGACCCAACACTTAACAATGAAAAAAATCAGGAGTGAGTTGGGAAGCTGTTTTGGTTTTTAAGAGCTTTTGCTTTAAAATTCTGGAGAAGTTTTCTGGGCCTGTCCCCGATGCTTGACTTGCTGCCTCAGACTGAGACAGCCTGTGCTGAGATGTTCCCCTGCATAGGTTCAGGTGTGTGAGAGGACAAACCCAAGCTTTTGGCTGAGTAAGCTGCTTCTAAAGAGCTGTAGACCTGGCTCACGCCAGCACCCTGCTGCTGTCTGGGGGGAGGGAAGAGCAGGCAGCTCAGAAAGGGGTCAGACTGGCAGCCCCTAAGCTTTTGTGTGTTCCAGTGGGTTATCTGCTCATTGCTGTGGCATATGGTGCCTGGATACAAAAGTCAAAATACCAGGAGTTTACTCCATCCTCCACCATCTGTTCTGCTGTAGTAGATGTGGCTGCCAGGATTCATTTTTTTCTGTTCTTGGCCCTTTTTCACCATTCCCTCTTGCCCCAACAGTAATATTTTCACTTTGCTGTTTTCCTTCCTGTTTTTCTTCTGATGTTCTTTTTTCTTTTAGTTTAGCTTAACCTCTACCTGTTTGGACTAAGCTCCTCTGTTTTATTTAAACCCCCCCACATTTTCTTCCCTTTTGTCCCCTGCACCTCTGCTTACATATTGTTAGCCCAGCTGTGTTGCCTTAAGCTGTTTGGAGCAGGCAGGCTTGGCTGCTGTTGTGTACAGCCAGGAATGCAGGGTGCTGGGCTCCTTTCAGCACCTTTTGGACTATTTATATTTTCAGGGATTTCTTGAGCCTTCATATTTCTGAGGTGGAATGGAATTTTCTTCTGGAATCAGGAGCTGCACAAGTGCAGAGCAGAGCAGCTGATTTTAATTGACTTTGATTGCAGTGGGAGTGGTTTGTGATGCTGACAGAAATACAGTGAAAGTTGCTGCTTTTGTATTTTTGGTCACATTTAGGTTCACTTTTTTAATTCTCTTTTTTATTTTATTTTTTTTCCAACTTATTTCACTTTTTTAACATCCTGATGTATATTATTGGCTGTCCTGCAGGTTGTTTCAAGCCAGGCATATGGATGGTGAGTTCTGGGAGGATGAAGATGAAGACTAGTAGGTTTCTGTAGCACCAAAAGCTGAACAAACCAGAGACAGATGCTTTCCATTTTTGTGTCAAGTTGGTTTGCTTTTCACTTCCATGACATAGTAGAGGAGTGGTAACTATCTTGCACTGCAGGATACTCACACTTCAGAGGCTGTTGCCAAAACCAAAGGAGACCGTTTGATCCATCCTGTGGTCAGGATCACCATGGAAGACCCTAATAATGGTAATTGTTGTTGAAGACAGAGAGAGGAAGTCAGAAGTTGAAAAGATACTGGGAAAACAAAGAGGTGTCCCTTTTTCAAAAGCAAACAAATCTGAAGAACTAAATCATAAAAATATTTGTGTGTTCCCTTTAGTGAGACTGTTCTTTTGAGGATCTTGGCTCACATCCATCACGGTTTTCGGGCAGTTCTGGAGCAGCTGGAGGGCTCTTCTGGAGCTGTTCAGTGGTACTGCTTGCACAAGGAGAGGTTTCTGTACAATACAGAAAATTTATTCTGTAGCAGCAACTGAGTTTGTTGCTTCTGTAGCATTTCCTGACCCTTTTCTCTAAGAAACAGCTCCTTACTCTGGCACTGATACTTTCTAATGGTGGCAAAACCAATTATCCTACTGGCTGTAGTGCCTTGGCTCTTTACTGAATGCTCTGGCAGAAAGTGTCCAACAACCATTTCCAGAGGATGGAATCAGTTTGTCTCCCCTCAGTGTTGCTGTTGTGTTCACTCACATTTTCTCTCATTTTGTCAGTGATGAGGGCTGAGGCCATGAGCAGCAGGTGGCCAGTGATGGGGGGGGGAAAGTACCAGATATTGAAACACTTCAAGAATGGATACTTAGTTGAATTCTTCAAGATACTGAAAATAATTACCTTTTATTCTCAGATGATGAAGTAATTTATTTTTTACTAGCTCTTCATATATGAAGTGTTATTAGTTGATAGTTTTTCTTCTGGACAAGATCCCTTATTTCCCACCATTCTTGCACTTCAAATTGTTTCAAAAACCAAATTGCTTCCCCAAAAATTTCAGTAAGTAATTTTGTGAGCATGAAAGTAACTGGTGGAGGGAACCACTGTGGTTTTTTTTAGAAGTTATTCCATTTGCAGAATGATCTAAAAATGTATTATTAAATTGAAACTGCATGTGCTGTGTTCAGAATGAATCGCAGGGCCTGGATGGCAAGCTCAGGAGCTGGAAGACTCTTTGGAACGTCAAGGTGAACACCTAAACTCAGTTTTGACTGATAGTAAATAGATTTCTACTTGGGTATCTGGCCAAAGGGAGTGCTGCTCTGGGTCCTGTGGCAGAGGAGGACAGTCTGAACTGTTAGAATTGGCAGTGGTTGAAAAGATGAGATGGGCAGTGCAGTTCTTGTTTTGGTTTAGGCTGTGGGATGGTGTGTAGGGTAATGTTGTGTATGGTTTAAATTATATTTCCTGCACCTTTCACACACATTAAGTTCACTTGAGGTCAGTAAATGTCGTTTTCTCCCAGGTTGTCTTCCCTGTGGCAGGTGTTGGGCAGCACAGGTCAGTGGGGCAGAGCCCTGCCCTGCTCCCAGTGGGAATGGTGCCTGTGGAATGGCACAGCCCAGCCCAGGCTGAGAGGAGTGTGGAGGCTGGTGTGTGCTCAGAGCTGTGGTTTGCCCTGGAAGATGCACAGCCCTGCGAGATGGTGGCAGTCGTGCCACTGCTCTGGGAATGCTGCCTTGGATGGAGCCAGCTTTTAGCTGCAGTCCTCATGGAAGTTCCCACCCTGGCCACAGTTTTGAACTGTATAGGTGATTCCAGAAGCTTTCTGCTTTCTGAGGGGGCTTTCTTCCCTCCAAGCTGTGAATGCAGGCAGCTGCTTGTGCTTAAACCCTGTTCTCTTGCCTGGATGGAGGGGATGGTGTTGGATCTCCAGCCTAGAGGGAGCTGGGCAGGTTTCCTTCTGCCAGGAGAGGTGGGCTGAGGGCAGGGCCTGGACACCAAAGGATACATTGGGATGAGAAGCCCTGGCTGGGAATGTCTGCCAGAGCTACCACAGCACAGATGCTATGGTGAAGTATTTGAAGGTATTGCCATGGACTGCCTCTGCTTTCAGGAGCTTTGTGTGTAGGGGAGGAACACGGATGTAGTCACCACCATTTCTGAATTTTGGGCACTTGGGGACCCTTGGGCTGGAACTCCCATGCTCTGCAGGGAGGTAGAGGAGGACAGACCCTCTGAGGAGGGGACAAACAGGTGACTGCACTCATAGGACACTCAGCTGGAGTGACAAAAGTGGGACAGCAAAAACCAGAATCTTGTCTTCATGGACAGAGAGCAAGGCAGGCACCTCTGGTAACAGGGCACAGAGTTTCTTCCTTGTTTTATTTTCCCTCTGGCCAAGTTCACTTTCTCCATTTCTGTGCTTGCACAGAAGGAGCATTAGATTATTTGCAGGCATCTTGTGGTACTAGGTGGAGAGCTGTGACCTCCTCTTTTCTCTTTTTAAAGATCTCCACTTTTTGACATGAAATGGCTGCTGCTTGGCAGGATGGGGCCATAGCAGGTGCTCAGTGGAAACCTGCCAGCAAAGCCTGGGCAGGGCAGGCAGCTCTGGGAAGCAGGGAGCAGCAGTAGCTGTTCCTACCAAACTCTTTCAGTACAGCTTTAGTTCTAGGTGACAGAAACCTTGTGCAGAACAGGTCTTGCCCATGCTTTGAGGGTGGTGGTACCCTCTCCAAAGCTGGCACTGCAATTCCTGCTCAGCCACACCAGCTGCTCCATGTTTCACAAGCACAGGGAGACTGAGCAGTAGACACAGTCAGTGTGGCTATTTAGGAAATGAAGACATTTACTGTAGAGAGTTACATTATAGATCAAAAGCTTACAGCATTTCTGCACAAAGAAAAGAAATGCTCCCCAGTTTGCCTTGGCCCTCTTATGACAGCATTTGATGGGAAACCCAGGCATCAAGTTCCAGACTGGCCAGAGCAGGTTGTTGTCCACCTGTGTGGGGCTTCTGTGATACAGCACAGGCTGAGGCCAGAGGGAACAGTGTTGCCTTTGAGGCTTCTTTGGCATTTCCTTGTAGCAACGTAAGGCATTGCAGGGGTGACAGGGACCTCACTGCCTCAGGCTCTGTGCTGACACAGTTACCAGAGTGCTGAGCAGCACAGGGGGGCATTTCTGCAAAATCTGTGATGCCTCCTAAAGCACCAGGGCATAGAAAATTACACCAAAATGGAACATGTAAGGTTCTTGTGTGGCAACAAATAAAACCATATGGATGCGTAAACTGAAGATGAACTGCATTAATGGCACTGCATTATTACTGCTGCTCAGTGCTGTCTGGCCTCCCTTTGGCTGAGATGGTCTCAAGGCCAACAACATATGGCTGAAAGGGGGGCTCAGCCAGGGCTTGAAAACCTCTTAAGTACAGAGACTGCACAACCTCTCTGGGGAACCTGCCCCACTGCTCGACTGTCCTCACAGGCAGGTTTTTTCCTTCAATCCATTCTGAGCATCTTGTCTCAACTCATGCCCCATTGTCTGTTCTCATCTCCCCCCCTGCACTTCCCAGGAGAGCCTGGCTTCATCTTCCTGAGAACATCCCAGCTGTGAAGGATGCTGCTGGTGGGTCACACTGAAGCTTTCCCTTCCCCAGGCTGAACAAGCTCAGTTCATTTTAAATGACTATAATGTAAAGAGTGTTCTGTGGAGGGGGAGTGACACACAAGGTACTTGTCCTAACTGCAAGGAATATAGCCCGAAGTGAGCATCCATTTGGTTCCTGCAACACTGGAATTTTGGGTATCATCACATTTAAGTTTTGGGGCCTTCAGTCCACATGCTTACAGCTGCTTCATAGGTTAAACAACCCATTCTCCATTGGCTTTACCTTCAGAAAATAAGTGCCAGAAATTTGGAGAACACAGTAGACTGGATCCCATCCTCATTTGGTTAATGCAGGCAGGTGTTTGGCATCTGTCTTTTTAATGGAGTGAAGTAAGCACATCATCATTTTGCTAATTTAAGAACAATTGTGAGATGAATTTCTGCATCAATTCCCTTGTTTCACAGCTGGTTTCCAACAGAAAAGCTGGTTCAGCTCCTCTGAGCAGCAGGACTAGTCGCTGTAGGGTTTCTTCGACTGGCTTCCTCCTGCTCCTGTCTCCTTCATGCTGTACAAGGGTTCCACAAGCTTGTTGTGAACCAGCATTAAACCTGATGTAGGTAGTAAAAAGATGACTTCACTAGACATAATAAAACAAAACTCTCGTTCATTGGATGCTAATGAACCTGGGCATTACTAGAGGTCTTGGTCCTTTGCTCCTGTGCCCGTGCAGTTAAGCATTCCCTTTGCACTTTAGTTATCCCTGGACATCTCAGCTGTTGTATTTAAGGCATGTACTCCCTGAGGAGCTGAGTAAACAGAAACATTTAATGAAAAGCATGGCTTGCTAAAAAAATGCTAAAAAACTAAGTACAACAGCTGCCTGGTCTGGTCAAACACTCACCTTTAAAGTATTTCACTGTCTTCACTTTGAGCTCCAGCGTGGCGTCCTCATCGCAAACGAACACGGTGTTGGGGTGTTGCTGGAAGGCAGACACTGTCCACATGTGGTTGACACCCTCCTCAATGGCTTTGTACAAAGCAAAGGCTTTGTGGGCTCCTGTGATGAGGATCATCACCTGGACTCAGAGACACAGAGAGTGGCAGTCAGGGCCTGGCAGACATGGGCACATCCACACCCCGCTGGCCTGGCACAGCTGCCCTGCTCCCTCAGGACAACAGGCCCTGTCCTGAGCCTCTGGCTGCATCACACTCTGCTCTGGCTGCTTTTCTTTGTCAACTAAACCATAGCCTGGTCAGTCGCTGTAATGATTTGGATACTTTGAGCTCCCCTGTTAAGCACCTTTATACTGAGACCAGTTTAAATCAAGATAGACGAGGCTCTCACCCTCTGCTGGTGTAACAGCAAGTCAACCAGGGGTTCTTGCATTTATTTCTCCAGATGAGTTTCTTAACCAAAGACACCCTCCCAAACTTTTCTAGCTACCTGGGAGTCACAAGTGCACTGCAGGGCTACACAAAAGTGTTAGCAGAGCAAAAACAGGAGACAGCAAGAGCCTCTCAGGCTTTCAGCTGCATGTGGGAGGGGAAGCAGGAGCAGGCCCCGGCCAGCAGGGTGCAATGCTGCCCACGGGCTGGGCAATCCCAAGC